GCCCTCTGTGATCCACAGGATTTTCATTGGCTGGTTCTTAGAAGTAGATCTCCAGGTCTTTCTTCCTTATCTCTCTTAGTCTGGAAACTCCATTGAAACCTGTTCAGCATCATAGCAACATACAAGCTTCTATTGATAGACAGGTAGCTGCTGCACGTGAGGTTGCATTGTCCAAGAACTGAACTTGAATCTCCCACGTGGAAGGCGAGACTTCTACCATTGCTTCTTCTTATCAGCAAGTTGAAGCCTTGCCGTCTATGCATCTAAGGAATATTCGGTTGTATGCCTTCATGCTATGATGTCGCTGCTGCTGTTAGATGCTATCAGGTCGGCTGAGACTTTGATTGTCCCTGTGTACAACAGAATGAAACACCGCCTGGTCCTGTGCCGTCGGCACAATTGTTGCTCATTGCTGCAGCCTCTGTGTCGTTCCATCTTGTTGAGGGTCTTCTCTTTTTTGTTCATCCTCTACTTTACCAAGCACGATGTATCATGTAATGATAGATTCTACTAAAGAAGGTGTAACGTCTGGATTGACTTATGGGAAGTAGGCACCATATACTTGGAAATAAAATATTCATATCATTCCTTTCATCCTTTCCAGATGAGTTTGAGTATCCACACATTATGATATGAGATGTTAGTAATCTTAAGGTGAAAAGAAAAAGAAACTGGAAAGTGTTGACCTGAGTGAGATGAAGTGGAGCCCCCAAATATGCCAGGGGTGATTGGGAGCTCCTGCGGAGAGGAGGTAGTATATTAGTTACTGAGCAGTATCTGGGGGAGTCCAGGAATAGGTCCCTGTGAGCAAAACCCCGGACAAAGCAAAATGGACAGGAACTAGGCATTTATTCTATCAGCTCAGTGAGAAAAAGAACTTCGGTAGCCATCGAGAAGGTGAGAAAATTGCTTCTCCAGCGGTGTGCACTTGCCCTGTGATGCGGATAGTGATGGTGACCTTGGATTTCAAGTGAGGAAACCGAGAATCAGAGAATCAAGGTCACACTAACCATACAGGGAAGCTGGAATTGAATCCCAAGTTGGCCTGACTCCACAGGGGTGGTATTAAGCACTCTGTGTTTCAAATCAAGTTTTTTTTTTAGATCTTTGGCATTTTGTATACATTTTTTAAAGTGGTAGTTGAAAATAGTTAATTTTTAAAAAAATTGTGATTCAGGTGAAAGTTTATAGAGCGTATTAATTTCCCATTGAACAGTTCATACACATTTTGTTCTGTACCGTTGGTCTTAATCCTCCCAGTGTAACAGTGCTCTTCTCCTTTCCACCCTGGGGTTCTTTTCGGCCCTTTCCTGCCTTCTGAGCTTTGTTTTTGGTCAAATGCTTCCCTTTTGGTCTCGTATAGCGGATGACTCTTGAGTACTGGACCCATCTTTGGGGATCACCTTGCAGCCAAACAACAGACCTATAAAGTGAATATTTCATACTTCATGGCCATAATTTTACATTAAAAATACCAACTTTAATTTAGCTCTGGTAGCGTAGTGGTTACGAATCGGGCTGTGAACCTTAAGGTCAGCAGTTCGAAACTACCAGCCGCTCCGCGGGAGAAAGATGAGGCGTTCTGTTCCCGTAAAGATTTACAGCCTTGGAAACCCTGTACAGGGTCGCTATGGGTCGGAACTGACTCGATGGCACTTAACAACAACAACAACAACAATGTCAGTTTTAGGAGCTCTGGTAGCGTAGCGGTTACGAATCGGGCTGCGAACCTTAAGGCCAGCAGTTCAAAACTACCAGCCGCTCCGCGGGAGAAAGATGAGGCGTTCTGTTCCCGTAAAGATTTACAGCCTTGGAAACCCTGTACAGGGTCGCTATGGGTCGGAACTGACTCGATGGCACTTAACAACAATGTCAGTTTTAAACAGCGAGGCAATATCTATTGTTATTTTTTTAAATGACGGTGTGTTTTTCTTGGTAGTTTGTTTTGGGCCCAGACAGCGTGACTTTACTTACAGCCGTAGGTCTTTTTCTCTTGATTTGTTGTTGTTGTTCGGGGTCCTGAAGTCAGTTCTAATTCTAGTGACCCTATGCGTGTGTAGCAGACCTAAACACTGCCTGGTAACCTCACAATCATTGTTAAGTTTGAGCCCACTTCTGCTGCCACTGTGCCAGTCCATCTCATTGTAGGACTTGCTCTTTTTCACTGACATTCCACTTTACAAAGCATGATGTCCTTCTCCAGGAATTGGTGCCTCCTGATAATATGTCCGAAATAGGAGAATTGAAGTCTGGCCAGCCTGGCTTCTAAGGATCATTCTGGCTGTACTTCTTCCAACACAGATTTGTTTGTGCTT